GAGTTGCATTTATGAGTGAGTTGCAGTTATGAATTCAAGGACTTGTATGTTGCATTAATATGATTCTCAAAAGAGTAGCATAGATTAAATGATGAGATGAATTGAGGAAGTTTTATGATTTTTAATGACTATTTTGGCTTGTGAATTACAATATTGTGATGTAGTTGAAATCTTTCTCAAAAAAATTCTATAGAAGATCTAGTCTAAAATAATACAACCCGATATTTCGATTTAAATTACAAGTATATTTTGAGGTCTGTTCTGAATTATAAACAATGTACCAAAAATCAAGCTACAAGTTTAAACTCCTAAACAAGACAAGGACTCCAAATCAAACAACAAGCACAATAGAGAAAGCAACCGCCGCAGCTAGACACGATCATCGGAAACAAAACTGAGCTTGACACCAACTCAGGACAAAACCATTGAATTAACAATATACAATATTTCAAATAAAGATTCTATACCAGAATTTGCAACCGCGATCCTTCAGCATTAAGAAACTTGACATAACACGTCCACACAGATAAATAATCCATTTTCTTACTCAAATTTAACTCTCAAGCAGAGAAATCAAATACATAATGCTTAAAATCCAAACCAATTGAATACAAAATGCAGAGTAAAATCCTAACGTGGATCTGATTCAAGGTTTGAAAAGTAATTTAGGGTTTGAGAAGACAAACCTGTTAAGATTGAAATTGATAGTGGTTGCTTTAGCGGTGATTCGCAATGACAGCGAGAGTGGCTGAAAACACAGAATTGTTTTCCTCTTTCTCCAAGGGTGTGAGCGGAGATTTCTGAAAAAGAAGAAAAAAAGGCACATAAAAGGGGAATGGAATCTCATTTTTAGAGGTAAAGATGAAATTTTAGATGACAACGAGTGGATATCACTGTCGCGGTTGTGAGGGAATCTGAGGGTGAAGTTTTTGAAAATTTTGAACACGTAACGACGGTAGATTCACAGTCGACATAAACAGTTTTATTTTAATTAATTTTTTTATTTCTCTTTAATAAATGGATGTTATTGAATTGTTTTGTTTATTTGTTATTTTATAATATTAAGAGTATATATAGTTTAATTTTATGTTTAATTTTTACTATAAAAATTATTTCTAAAATTTTGAGTTTATAAAATTTTGATATATAGTAAACTTTTGATATTTTGAATTTAATTTTTACTAAAAAAATTGTTTTTAAAATTAATGTTTTATTTTGAGAATATTTAATATTTTAATTTTTATGCATTTTAATTTTTAGTCATTTATTTATTCAAAATCCATAGATTAATTTTTAGTCCCCACAAACAAATAATTCTGGATATAGTTTGTGTTACTGGGTTTAGGGGGCGACGGTTGTTCTACCATCTTGACATAAAATTTAGGGCGGTTCTTGAGACAGTCGTGAACTTATTTGTAGGACGGTTTAATGATAACAGTCATAATATTTAATAATCTTTTAAAAATGTAAGGGCGGTAGGTGTATACTATCGTGAAACGCGTCTCTATATTAGAGTTACGACGGTTATCAAGTAACGGTCGCAATTTTTGTATCGTAAAACCCTAATTTTCTTGTAGTGATATAAAATATTAGAAGACTTTACAAAAAATTGAGAAGTAGAGTTTTACTTTCGAGGTTTAGAAAGAAGAAAGCAAATAAAACAAAAGAAATTGACATAATGGATCAGAAGGGGAGAGAGAGCGGCAACTAAATATTGCTCTTAGGGTTTCTTTCTGAAAATTTCTATTTTATACTGATATTGAGGCCAAATAAATATATTGTTAGGTTATGGTTTACTAGTGACTTGATATGGACTAGGCCAATAATTTTCCCTTTTCAGACAAAGCCTAAAACTTAAATACAAAACCATATATTATGGAATAGTTGGGCTCGGTCGATGATGGGCTTTCATGGATCTGAATCCCAAATTCGATTTTGCCCACTTAAATTTGAGTCAACCCATTTCTTTAGCCTGCAACCCGACCCATTTTTACCCAATACTTTTTTTCTTGATTTAGTTTGTTCGAATTCGGTCGGTTCGATATATCTTGTCCACCCATACCTTAAGTGAGCTTTGCAACTCCTCTTTACTCATTGTCGTAATATCCTTCAATTCCTGAATCACTACAACCACGTTGTCAAATATTAGCGTTAAAGAACACAAGATTTTTGCGATAACATACTTCTTCGTGATTGTTTTTCAACATGCCTTCACTTGTTTCACTAATTAAGTGGTTCTTGTTATGAAATCATTGATCGTCTCATTCTCTTTCATTTGAATCAATTCAAGTTGATGCTTGTGAGTTTGTAACCTCACCACCTTCGCCTTGTCATCCCCTGCATATGCCTTCTATAAGATTTTCCACACATGCTTTTACGATTCACAGTCACCAACTTTCTCAAAGTTGTCACCATTTACACATTAATGGATCAAAATCAGCGCATTAAAATCTTTCTTCTTAGCTTCCTAATGAGTTGTTCGTCGTGCATCTGTTGCACCTTTGACAAGAGGTTTCAGTGCGTTCTTGACCGCTTCAAGAATATCTATGTATGCAAATAACACTTTCATTTGTTTGCACCATTTTTCGTAATTCTTCGCATCAATGATGCGTAGATTTGCAGCGATTCTTTCATTGTAGACAAAATTCATGTTGCACACTAGGTATTTGTGGATCGGAACCAAACTCTTGATGCCAAATGTTAGAACTTAAAACCATAAGATTAATAAATAATAGAGAAATTAGAGTAGAGTGGAGAGAGAGAGAGAGAGAATATTTTCACTTTTTCATTAACCATAACAATGATATCTATAAGGTATTAATATAAGTGATTGGAATACAAAACAACAAGGCAAATAGAAAAGTCAAAAACTTGTACCTGTAATCAGTTACACAAACGTTTTAACTGGTTAAAACCGCTATATAACAAAAAATAACAAATAGTGGTAATCGATTACTTCGAATACGTAAACGATTACACCTACTCCATAAGCATTTTTCTTCAGCTTATTTGACTTATTTTAACATCTATAACCGATTACAACACTTGAATTATTCAAAAACTCTTAATATTTTTTCACATCAATCTCCATTAATGGAAATTAACAGGAAGGACAAAAAATATGGACCGAAAACATTTATAAAACCATTAGTCGAAAAAAGAAATTTATAAAATTATAATCTAATTATAGAAACTTAAAAAATATTTAACCTTTAAAAAAATTTTAAAAAAATTACTATTTCAATTTTTTTATGCAAAACATTTTTTTAAAAATAAAAATTCAAAGCTAGAATAAACCGGCCCTAGATAATTTAAAATGTTCAATTTTCAAATTGACTGGCACTGACAGAAAATTAACTAGACAAACATAGTTGATTCCTAATTCCAGATAAGTACTACCATAGTCCTTATGTTTTTCACAGCAGAAAGAATTCTCATCCTAATCTTTAATTACAATGTGCATGATCCTGGTTTCATGCTCTAGAGATAAATAAATCTATAAACATTACCTCGAATAAAATGAGATATATCTACATTATCAAACCTAACAAAGGAAAACATGGCCTCTTAAATGTTGAGTACCAAATGATCATTGTTTCTAGCATAGCATGGCCATACCCATTCTCTTGTGTCAGAATTATAGGGCTGCCACATGCACCATGTGGTCCTGAAAAAAAGGTAGCTGTGATAGATATTAAGGTCACCATAACGTTGATCTTTTTTCAATTAAAGTTGGATATATCTCTACCAAACATAATGCAAAAGTACAACATAATTAATATTTGGCTTAAAAAAAATATCTTGATGTTAATGAACTCTAATTACATACGCACAAGTAATTTTGAAGATTCCACCCAAATTGATAAAAACATATATGTGTAACAAAGTTAAGTGGCCGCATCTATCAAACCTAAATAAGGGTAATGTAATTTATTGCAGACAAATTTGGTTCAAAACCATTAGCAAACAATTTCAGTTAATTTTGAATTAACAATTGTTTTAAGGCATGAGATGTAAACTTCCAACAAACAACGTCCTTCACGTTGTTGAAGTTTCACAATCTAAAATCTTTGATTATGACTCTCCATTCTTTAATGGGTCACCACCATAATTCCATGCCATCATTTCAACTCATAATGTCCACAAAGTTGAACCGTACTGTAGAAAAAATATCACTAACTACAAACTACTTTTTTCTATCCATTTATTTGTCGCCATTTTCTTTCGTTCAATAGTTTTAAAAATTAAATCAATCCTCACATGGAGGGAACAAACTTGAAAACCCAAATAATAAATAAGACAATGACGTTTTTCAGCCTGAATTTCAAAAGGGAAGTCACCTCTTTCCTTTCCTTAATTCATGATCCCTGTTCTTTTGCCTCGCAATTCAACCATGATTTAAGGGAAATTTGACTCAGTGCAGTTAGAAAATAGCACTTTTTATACCACTTTTTGTCTGATCTCAATTTAACTAACTATTTCAAATTCGTGATTGCGTAAATGCGCTCTCTAATGTATAACGTATTAGAGTGAAAATAAATAAGAGTCATACAACACTTATACAACGTTTAAAATATAAATAAATAAAATAAAATTTTAAATATTAGTATATAGGTTCAATATCTAATCTCAAATATTAGAGATTATGTCCAATAACGGTATGTATTATATCATAATAGTATTTGTAATCATAATTCTTGATAAAAAATATTTGTAATAACAATTTATAAGATTGAAATATAAAATTAAGTACCATCTGTGGCAAATTTACATCATAGTCATACAATCTCATTGCTATATATAAAATCATCAGTAAATTTACAAAAATCAGATAATTCTAAACATCTGGTTCGACTTCGCCTCCCCAGCCATAACTTACCCTTAGAAACTCATTCATACTTTGAAATATAAAAAAAAGAAAAATATTTAACATTATAATAACATTTCTATATAATATATATATTTTTCCTGTCAATATATGATAGTATTGAAATTCCACGTCAGCATAATCTCCAATCCAAGCGAACCTCAGCGGGTCCATGCACGTGCTGACTTGGTTTCCTGAATGATACAATGTGACTACTGACCATGAAAGCGGTTACACGTTCCGAAACTCTAACATCTTCCATCTTTAATTCCTGCAACCTAAGCACGTACTCCGGCACGTGCACTAGGTCCCACACAACGCATACACCTCCCGGTTTCATCACTCTCACCATCTCCGCCACCGCTCTCATCCTCTCCGCTGCCGCCTCCGCCGTTTTCTGTCCGTACTCTTTCCCTACTGTATGAACAAACACGCCGGAAACCACCACATCGAAGTAATTATCCGGAAACGGCAACCGACGCGCGTCTCCCTCACGACATGTCACGTACTCTCCGACGCCTTCCATTTTCGCAGACCGGAGAGTTGATAGCGTCGTCCGTTTCGATCTGTCAAGACCGACGACTCGGCCGGAGCTTCCTTCTTTCTTCAGCTGCGTCGCGACGGCGTTGAGGAGGATCCCGCGGCCGCAGCAACCTAAATCGAGAGCAAGCTTCACGGAGGACCAGTCGTTAACGGCAGAGACAATCCTCTGTGCCATGTCGTAGTGAAGCGGAATGGCAGAGTAAAAGAAATTCGCCGCCGCGAAGAAAAGACACACCGCGGAGAGAGCCGTAACTGAACCGGTAAATCCGGCGGCGAATCTGGCTACGGCGGTGCCAGAAATTACTCTCTCGAAGAAACCGCAAATTGAATTAAAGTAAACCAGATAAAGAACAGATAACACAGACAATAAAATTGCTTGACATAAGAGGAAAATTAGGGTTTGCCATTGCTCCATTCCGTAGATCGAGTTCATCTGCGTCCATTCCTTGCTATGATTTGTTGATTTTCCCATGTTGATTCAAATTTCTGTTTCAGTTTCAGCCAGTGACTGAATTTGAATTGAATTGAGATTTTGTTGTTTCTATATCTGCAACATAAGAATTTGTTAGATAAATTATGGTGAAATTGATTTTATAGATTACTGAATTTGAATATGAATGTGGCACTTACGGTTAAGAAAACGAAGCTGAAGAATCAGATCCAAATGTGAAAAGAAAGAAGTGAGTGACAGTGGAAATGAGTCACTGATAAGCGCACAGTTGTTGATTCTTTTGTTTTGATTTTGAAAGACGCGTTTTGATTCGTCGTTTATCTCTTTTTATTGTGTCAGAGTAAAACGGCGAGGCTATTCTGCGTTTAGCTTTAACATCCTTCTTTGTAACGAGACTGAGGAATTGTACGAAATTCGAGAGATGGAAAATGGTAATGGGACCGACCTCGTTGTTGGTTGTGTTTTTATGAGAGTATACAACGAAAGAACGTGTTTTATATGTAGAGTGGATACGGCGGTGTGTAGGTATAAAACCTCTTTGAAAAAGTTTGAAGTTTGAAGGGGTTTACCGGTTTACCGGGTAAGAAGGTAGCTAAGTGGGAAGGGAGCTGTTTCTTGATTGGGTCGTTGTAACGTTGGTAAGCCTGCAATATCAACTCTGAGATAGTTTATTGTAATTGCAGTTCATTTTTATAATTTTCTATTTTCATTGGAAAAATCTGGAATTAAATAGATTCTATCAAAAAATAAGGTTTAATTGTTATAAACCGATAGTATAAAATTTTATACTGTTATTTAATAAAAATATATTATTTTATTAAGGTTTAATTGATTCGCTAATCAACTGTTTTAAGGAAGTAGCAACTGTTTTTAGGAGCGTGAGTGGGGAGTCAACTCTTGTATTATTTAAGAGAATGTGATCTTTTCTTCTCTCTCTCTCTCTCTCTCTCTCTCTCTCTCTCTCGTATTGTTGGAACATGTTACTTCATATTCTAATAAACAGATGTGCAATCCATGAAACTTGTGGCAGAACCATGAAACAGGCACTCGTTCCAATAAATGGGAGCTAGAAGGCAGGTGCAAGAGACACGTTACGCCACTTTCATTTAATGAACCTCATGTGTCGCCTCTTGTGGACTTTTATAAATACATCAATGTGAGGGCAAAGCCTCATATAGTATACATGTGTGTTTCGATGATGTCAAAACGCAGCCGCATGGAAGAAGTTATTACCTTTGCCTACATATCTCATTTGCTTGCATCAAACATCTTAAGTATTGCATTGAGTATCGTCATATGAGTTAAACATCTTTGGTATGTTAAAAGTCGCATCTAAAAGAGTCTAAAATAGCAAAATTTGCATTTTTGTAAAAATCAGGTCTTTGAGTCGACCGCTCATCTGCTCCGGTCGACTCATAAAAAGTGTCTGCAAAGTGCATTTTCCACGAGTCGACGCATACTGATAACATTTCTATTTGTCTAAAAATGCAGACTTTGCGTCGACGCATAGTCCTGTTTTGGTCGACGCATAGCCTGTTACTTTGCATAATTTGTTCTGTCTGAAGAGTTCCGGTCGACCACTCCTTTCTGTATGGTCGACCGTTCGCTGTTTTACTGCATAATTCTGGTCTTTCCACTTATTTCGTAAAGTGGTTTTGTCTGTTATTTCTGGCATGCTATAAATAGAAAATTGCTCATTTTCAACAAGGAGATTGATACATTGAATGAATTGCAAAACAAGAAAAGTGAAAGAGGTGCCATTAGTTCTCATCATCTTCATCTTCTACATTTGATACCATAACAATCACACACAACAATCTTTGTTGTGCATTATGGACTGTTTGAAGTGATAACATCTGAAGCCGTTGATTGGGAATTCGGTTCGGGTTTAGAGTTTGGCAGGTTTTTCTTGAATAAAACCTTGAAGGTTTTGTCCTCCAAGATTCGCCGAATTTTGGGGTTTTTGGTACGAATCTTCTCAACATACATTCAGCTGAGCGAAGGTGATCGAGGAGCGGTTGGTTTCGTCGATCTAGTAGTGGGAATCAGTGAATTATGAAGGAGAGATTCGGGTTCAATTGACCGAGTGTTTGATATCAGTCGGGCTGGGGTTTGAAAATGCAAGGTTGTTCAACCAAGGAGCTGTATCGGAGGTTCATCCACAAGCAATCAAAGGACTTGATTCGACTCGAATCAAGGGACAAGAAGAGAAAGCATCTTCAACAACAAGGGAGTTTGTTTGTGCATTTGCTTGTCTATTCTTGTATAAACAATTCAACAACAGGTTACATTTGTATTATACGAGCTCAATTCTATTGTTAGAATTGAGGGCAGACGTACCCCGAAGCGAGGACGGCGAGGGAACTGCCTCAACAAATCTTTGTGCCTTTTTACTTTTCGCATATTCATTTTGCTTAATATTTGCGTGAATTTCGTTCAAACAATAATATCGAATTAAGGTCCGTTTTGAGTAACTGATGAAGTAATTTTGACTATAGTACAATAGTTTATTGTACAAGGAAACTAGTACTACTTACTCAAAGCAAAAATCACTTGGAGTGTTCCGCACGCCAAGTGTTCGATAAATTGTCTGAACCAAAATTCTCTTGTGTTGTCCAATTATTTTGTGGGCATATTAAGGCATTTGAACTAGTCATACCAAGTAGTGATATAAATCAATTGATAGTGTGACTAGCGTGGTGATTCTCTTTGCTCATTATCAATATCCATAGGCTAGACGCATATCCGGTCCTCTAGTAACAATTTGTTATAGACGCTAATTTTTCCACGGCCGCTTTCGCAACTTAAACAATTTTTAAAACCAATTTTATTGGTAGCTCCGACTGATTTTTTAATAAGGATCTATTCAACCCCCTTCTAGATCCGTGCCATCGTCTAACAATCAATACATAGTCTCTCAAGCATGTGGGCTTGGAAATGGTGAAATTATTTAGTTTTCCTTCCCCTTCATATATGGATAAGTCCCTCATGCATAGGGTGATTCCCTCAAGTAGGGGTGGGTCCCTTAAGCATAGGGTAAGTATTTTAAGCATGAGGCGAATCCATCAAGCATGGTCTGAGATATACCTCCAAGTGACAACGAGGTGAATCCTCGTATGTCAGTTGAAAGAAATCCCTAAATGTCATTCAAGGTGACATACACGCAAGGTATTAAATACAATCAATGATGATTTAGTCTCAAGACACCAAATTGGCCTTAATCTCCCATGCGTGTTTAAAGCCTGCAAAATCTTTCACGTCTGATGGGAAACCTAGGAGGCCTTTGCACATCCATATTCTTTAAACCTCTATAAAGGGGTTTAACCCTTATTCTTTTACATTTTCGCATATTTTTGTCTCAAAAGTCCTTGAGAGCTTCCTCTGAATCTTTCACGAGTTTTTCTCCTTTCTCAAGTTTAAGTCCCCATTTAGAGGTACATGTTTGATATAATTTATTCTCCTTTTTCCTATTTATAACAATAATTAGGGATTTAGAAGTGAACAACAACCTAATGGAGCCTTCGAATCGTAATGAGTGTATGGCCATGTGGAATCACTGCTATAGACATGCTAAACGTCATGACGAGACAATTGACTATAAATTGGTTAGGCTAGGCATGTGTGGGAGTTGAGAGAGTTCTATTACCTTTGATAGTGATGATAGTGGTGGTAGTGATAATGACTCATTTTCCTTTCTGTTTGTCTAGTAAACATGAAACTCATGGCTACCTCTGAATCTTTCACGAGTTCTTCGGCCTTCTCAAGTTCAAGTCCCCATTTAAAAGTACAGGTCTGATATCATTTATTCTCCTGTTTCTTATTTATGACAAAAATTAGGGATTTAGAAGTGAACGGAAAACTATTGGAGCCTACGACTCGTAATGAGTGTATGGCCATATGCTATAGAAATGCCAAACGTCATGACAAGACAGTTGACTACAAATTGATGGAGCTAGGTATGTGTGAGGGTTGAGAGAGTTCCATTATATTTGATAGTTATGATAGTGGTGGTAGTGATAATGACTCATTTTTCTTTATGTTTTCCTAGTAAACATGAAAATCATCGCAACCTTTGACCTCGAGCGCAAGGACGTCAAGGATTTTGAGTTTTGTTACATTAGTAGAGAAAAGATAACCCCATTTCGACAGTAAGTCAACCTTTATTCTTTGGGTGATGAAGAAGAAATTATTATGGAGGCATTTTCTACCATATAGAAAAATAATATGGTTGTTTTCGATGATTCCCCAACCCATATTTCTACCTTTACCTCCCCCTATTTGTGACATAGGGGTTTTGGTTCCATTTTCTTTGTTTGAGGCAGAGTTTTTAAAGGTGATGAACGTCACCCTGTCCCAGATCTTGCCCAACAGTTGGATCTTATGTAATTCTATGGACAATTTAATGGCTAAGTTTTAGTGGAGTGGTAAGAATTTAGATAGGAAAATACATTGGATAAAATGGAAGAATCTTTGTAATGCTAAGAATCAAGGTGGTATGGGTTTTAGGTCCCTTAATGATTTTAAAACGGTCATGCTTGCCAAGCAAGTTTGGAGAATACACACAGAACCTGACTCTTTGGTAGCTAGGCTTCTAAAAGCCAAGTATTATCCTAACTCAGATATCTTAAAGGCTATACGAGGAAATAAGCTAGTTACCATTGGAGAAGCATTTAATCTAGCATTGAGATTATCAATAAAGGTGTTTATTGAATTATAGGTAAAGGGAAACAAGGTCAGCATATGGGAAGATAATTGGCTTCCAAATCAATGTAGTTTAAAGTCCTAACACAAAAGCCCATGGAAACTAGGACAATTGGAGTTAGAGACCTAATTGATGAGGAAAATAGTTGTTGGAACACAGACATTATTAACAAAACCTTTATCCCTAAAGAGAAAAAGAAGATTTTGAGTATACCCCTTTATAATTCGGATATTGAAGATTTCTTTAGATGGAAGGATGATAAGAATGGACACTATAATGTCAAATCTAGGTACTATAGTATCAGAAAGTGGCAGGACTA